GAGGGAGAAAGAGAGAGGGAGAAAAAGAGAGATGTTGATTGGGCGGTCGTCCAAGCCTTGCCTTAATAATAAATTTTTAGATGATCATCTTCGGTTTCGATTAAGTAATTGTCATTTCAAGGGAGATAGGAAGAGAGAGACAAATAAATGGTGTGTGTGTGTGTGTGTGAGAGAGAGAGAGAGAGAAAAAAAAAAAAAAAAAACAATTTTGATTTAATACTATTGCGTTTTTTTAAGTCAAGGTGGATTCCACCACGTAATAATTATGCCTTGATCATACTACGGCCACTTGTTGACTTCAATGGAACAAAAAATCCTCATATGAAACTTTTTTCCTTTGTATGCTTGTGTTGGTATTTCTTTATTCTTTGCTTTTTTGTTGCTCCTCTCGCTCTCTCTCTCTCTCTCTCTCTCTCTCTCTCTCTCTCTCTTTGTATATCTTTGTCTCTCCTCGCGCTTTCTCCTGCTTTTTATTTTTTAATTTTCCAATTTGACACTTTTTTAATTTGTCAATTAAGCTCAGACTTAGGAGCTAGTTTCAGGCTATACTTTATGACCCTGTGATTTTTTTTTTTGTTTTTTGTGAAGTCTGTCTGAGTTTATGTGAGTGGTCCATGTCAGGTTGCCTACAACATTTCTTATTTCTGCGGGCATAGCGTGCACCGCCCGGACCGCCGACGCTTAGCTAGTTATTGTTTATTAGTTTGTCATTGTTTTAATATGTTGTTATTATTACTACCAATATCTACCATCATCAGACCTTCATGTGTGTCAACCTTCCCCAGGGGCACTGCCTTTTTTTTTTTTTTTTTTTTTTTTAGGGTTTGGAGATTAGTTTGTCGTTTAGGCTAGACTATTTTCTTTGAAGTTCCTTTTGTCTTTGCCTTTTTTTCTCCTGTCGCTCGTAGGTTAAATTAGGGTTTTGTGACGTATTTGTTGGTGCCTTTTTGCTACCTGGTTCACTCTTCCTCCCCAGCATTTCTGGGACTCTTTTTAACTTTGGTCACTTTCCCAAATAGGATTGGCTTGCTTCTTGGTTGGGGTTTTGTAGGCTTTTCATCGCAATTGGTCTTCTTGGCCAGGAATTCAAGTTTCCGCAAACTCGGTTTTGATGTGAGGGACGCTTGAGCCGTTTTCCAGTTTGTCTAATGAAACGGCAACCTCAGTATGGACCTGGCCGGAATGCCGCATCATATATATATATATATATATATATATATATATATATATATATCGTATATATATATATATCGTCACAAACAGAACTGCCCGGTAAACCGTAGGCAGAGAGAGAGAAGAGGACAACAAACGAGGGGCTATGACAAACTGTTTCGTCGGAGTTTATATATATATATATATCGTCACAAATATATATATATAGGGGATTCTACAGACTGTTGAGGGTTCAGCCTCCTAATGAGTCGGTGAAACTCCGACGAAACAGTTTGTCACAGCCCCTCGTTTGTTGTCCTCTTCTCCCTCTCTGCCGACGGTTTACCGGGCAGTTCTATTTGACGATATATATATATATATCGTTATATGTATATATATATCATATATATGTTTATATATATATCATATATACGTGTATATGTATATATTCTCTGTAAGGTTCTAACTTTTAAAAAAAGTTTCAAAGGACAGGGAGCATACTATGAATTTACTCAATTGTCCTACTACTGCTTTTCCAGGAACAGCTGCAGTTCTGTCCATTGATGTTGAAAAAGCATCAACAATGTGGATTGGCACTTGGTTTGCGTGTGCGTGTGTGTGTGTGTGTGTGTGTGTGAGAGAGAGAGAGAGAGAGGCGAATGCACCTAGCTGCAGTACTCACCAAATTTGTGAAGGGGCTTCAACTAGAAGGTGGAAATCAACAGACCGTTTTTTTTTTGCTCAAGGAGTGGTGGAGTGAAGCCCTACCATCCCCCGAGCAGATGATTGTCATCGTGTCTGTATTTGAGGCAACTGTCAGTCTTGATACGGCAATACTGACCGTACCTTCTATTTTGGCGAGGAAGGTAATACCAGTTGCCCAAAACCATGGCAGCTGCCTTTACTGCTCAACAATGCACTTGACCAGAAAACCATTGCAGATGCATTTTTTTTGGTTGAAGGAAAAGACGAAAAAAACAATCGGGAGGGAAAAGGGAAAAAGAAAACAGCATAAACAAAGGAAACCCGAAAAGGTTCCCCCCCCCCCCCCCCCCCCCCCCCCCCCGCCCCCCCCCCCCCGCCGAAAAAAAAACTGAAAAAAAAGAAGGGCGCCATTTGCCAAGTCCTCAGGGGATATTCGGGCCTAGCTCAGCTGGTAAGGCACACAAGTTGCATTCAGGAGGTTGTGGGTTCAATCCTCATAAGCCTCACGCACGTGCCTGGGCAAGCTTAGTGTTCTACCAGCTAGAGATAACCCCTTGGCCCTCCAAGCCAGCATTGGCAGGACCTTGGCCAATATTGTTGGTTGGTATGAAGCAATGATATTGGCCACTATACACTGCTAATGTGGGTTGGAGAGGGGTAGGGGGAGGTGCGAGTGACTGGCCAAAGATGCTGCGCACTAGCATCGCCGGTTTCCCCCCTGGGCAATGCCTGATCACTCCACATCATCGTGACGAGGGCCTGATACAAGCCTTGCTCTCGCACCACCCACTGCTGTGGTGCCAACCTAGTACCCCGTGGGCTGGGGAGCGTTCCAGGTTTGGTTGGTGTTCCCCCATACTATACATAGAGTAGCGAGAGGATGACATAGATGAGGAAAACATATACAAAAGAAGATTGAGAGAAGAATATATAGATTAGTTAAAAGAAAGAAAAAGGAACTTCGAGCTGTTCTCTCTCTTTTTTTTTTTTTTTGTAAAGAACAGTCCATCCTATTCCTATTTTACACAATGCCGGCAAACGGGCCTGAAGCTGGCCCGGGTGACTCTGGCCGAATTCAGGTCAGGACTGCAAAAGAAGAAATTTGGGACGTGCACCGTGGCCGGCATTGCAAGGAGACCTAGCACAGTAGCCTGAAGTTGCCGGCGCTGAGGCTACCATCTTCCCCCGAACATAACACACCCTAAAAATGAATGTATACAAGCTATATTTCCGGCCAGATACAGCCAAAATAAGGGTGCATTGTGTTCGGGGGAAGACAGTAGGGCTTTGCCTAGGGCTATGGCCACCTTAACGTTGCCGGCACCGAGGCCAGGGCTTTGCCTAGGGCTACGGCCACCATACCCACCTTCTTCTCCTGAATACAACGTAAGGTCATTATAGCTGTATTTAGGGTATATTTTTCAATCTAAATAAAAGTGATAATGACCGTACCCTTGTATTCGGGGGAAGAAGGCAGCCAGCCCCAGGAAGAAGGTAGCGTAGTCATCCCCGGCTGCCCACGGCTGTCCTGTTCACCCTTTGCGGGCGCGGACTTGAAGCTTGTTCGGTCAAGCCGATTGAGTGTGTGCTGGCGGTGCGGGAGTGTGGTGCATGGTGACACTGGCGAGTGGTTGGTTGGTGATTCTTAGACTTATGAGCCGGTGCATCTTTTCTTCAAAACTAATTGAATTATGCTAAAAATAATAATAATAAAATAAAAAATTGTCAGCACACTGAGCACAGGTTCAAACACCTGGAGTAATAATTCCAAAAAAAAACTGCCTCAATTCACAATTCAACAATCGCATTGAATTATGCAATATGACGTTAACAGCGTAACACCTATCCTCCCTGGCCTCAAATTCAATATTTGAATCAGTGAAAATTTGACTGCGTGTTCCCAAACAAAAGAGGGAACCCCCCCCCTCCGCCCCTCCCTATCAGGCTATCGCCACAGCACCACCATGCACGTGTTTCGACGCTCGTTAGCCCCTGTCACCGTGGTGCCGCGCCCATCCGTCCGGGCACCAGTCCACTTAGTACGACTACTGTCTTCACCCGAATAGAACTCCCGGTCATTATAGTTGTGAATTTGTCGCAATTTTGGGTCCAGATCCAGCGATAATGACCGGGCGTTCTATTCGGGTGACGATGGTAGTACCTCGAAAAAGTTAGATGCAGGGAGCAGATTACAAACTTCGAGATCAACGACAAGTGACTCTCGCTGGTCTCTCGAAAACACATTCAATTTGTGTTCTTGCTGCTCTTGAAGGTTGAATGCTTCGCCGACTCTGATTGATACGACAAGTGTTTTTGGTGCTCTTGAAAGTTGTCATGAACGCTAGAGTCCCCAGTGTCGCGCCAAAAGTCCGAGTCATCTCTTCAATACTGAAGCTGATTGAAGCAGGCAGTCAATTACCAACGTCATGATCAACGGCAAGTGACTTGGGCCCAGGCGCGGGCCCCGGCTCGCGTCTTGAAAACACATTATGTATTGAACTTTTGGTGCTTAGCCTCTTGAAAGTTGAGTTTCTTCACTCTCAGACTGATGTAAAGGCACATCTTGAATACTGGAGCTGATCAAACCAAGTTCAACTTATCCAAAAGGCATCCAAAAGTTTTCCAAACCTTATCCAAACCTTATCCGAACCTTATCCAAACCTTATCCCAACCTTATCCGAACCTTATCCGAACCTTATGCAAATATGGCCAACCCCTTAACGGAACGTTCTCAGCCAGTCTGTAAGCATAGGGTCATCTAAACCTCATGAAAACCTGATGAAAACCAAACCTCAAAAGCTCACGATGGCTCACATGTATTGGTGAGAAGGGCAGCGTATGGTCATCCAAACCACATCCAAAGCTCAGGCAAAGTGGATTGAAACTATGCATCCAAACGTTTTATCCAAACCGCATCCAAACCTTTTATACAGACATTTTATCCAGACCTTTTATCCAAACCTCAGCCAAACCGCATCCAAACGTGCTCTCTCATATTTATTGGTGAGTAGTTCAGCATGGGCCGATGGCGTCATGCGAACCTCGTCCAAACGTCATAAATTTGACATAAAACAAACCTCATCCAAACATTATCCAAAGCATCCCAAGCATATCCAAACCTTACCCGAACCTCATCCAAACGTCATGAACGGTCACATTTGTTAGTGAGGGCGGCAAGGCCCATCCTAGGATCCACAAGAAGCATCAATCAGAAGGATGCCTTCATCATGATTGCTACAAAAATGATAATCGTCTCTTTGATGCGTCATCGATGTTGTCCCCTGAGCATATCATGGCACCAGAGCGCATAGAAGTGATAGCACAGCATACCACAGCAGAGAAGAGCATCGCATAGCATAGCATACCGTAGCATGGAATGTGATAGCATCGCACTTGAGCATACCATAGCATAGCATACCTATGATAGCTGCAATAGCGTAGCATGGAATGTGATGGCATCGCAATTCAGCAAGCAAAGGCCCCTGCTATACCCAAAATAATGGATTGCCAATGTGTGCATGCCTTGGCATTGAGAAAGAAAGGACACAACGAAAGGTGAAACACCATGGAGAAAAGCTCTCTTCGATCCACGGATTTCTTATCCGGGAAACTGCAATGAAGTTGACTTAGTGAACTGAAACATCTAAGTAGCTCAAGGAAAGCACATCAACTGAGACTCCATTACTTATCTCGAGAGGAGAGGACTGTCATCAGCAACACCCTTCTGCACCCTGCTCAGTTAATCCTGTGGAAATCCAGAGTAATCAATGCTGGCAGGTTTTTTCAGATATTCTGTCCAGTTTTCTGTTTTCTGAGTCAGTCTGTTCCATTCTGTAACAGGGACGCTGGACCCGTTTTCCAGCAGGTGATGCTCCCCACCAATAGATGGAGTCTCTCCTCAAGGTGCTAGCCGTGTCTGCTCTTACCAGCACCACCTGCACTAATGGGGCTGTTTGAAAAAAAAAAAAAAGTGCATATCAATGATATCATAGCACACCGGAGGACATCATAGCATAGCCTATCCCAGCATAGCATAGTATAGCATAGCATAGCATAGCATAACATAGCATAGCATAGCATAGCATAGCATAGCACAGCACAGCACAGCACAGCACAGCACAGCACAGCACAGCACAGCATAACATAACATAACATAACATAACATAACATAACATAACATAGTATACCATAGCATGGCATGGGATCACATGGCTCAATACAGCACGGCATAGCACCGCATAGCACAACATAGGATCACATAGCATAGTATGGCATGGGGCTTAAGCATATCATGGCATCCGATCACGTGGCACAGCACAGCATACTATAGCTTATAGCAGCAAACCATAGCATTACATCATAGCACATCACAGGATGGCACACAGCATAGTACAACATAGCATTGCACAATATAGCATAGCATAGCATACCATAGCATTACATAGCATAGCACAGTGAACCATAGCATTGCATTGCATTGCATAGCAGAGCATAGCAGAGCACAGCAGAGCACAGCAGAGCAGACAACAGGACAGCCTAGCATACAATAGCGTAGCTGCATAGCATAGCATAGCTTAGCATAGCACAACAAGCCTGGCACAGAATAACATAATGTAGCGTATCATAGCACAGCATAGCATAGCATAGCATAGCAAAGCCACAGCTAAAAGATGAACAGAGAGCGAAATGCTATCTACTGCTCTGTGCGCCCGCCATACTCACTCGTGTTCCCCGGACTGCAAGGTTGGTGTGAGAAAGTCTATTTCTGGACCGATAGGGGGTTCGCAAGGGGCTAAGTGGCCCTTCCAAACCCTTCCATTTTAAAGGGGGTGGTATATGGCCAGCTCTGGTCCCCCCCAGGCGGGATGATTGTGTTACCTTGACAGGGACGAAGTCGGGCAAAGTACCTGCATCCCCCGACTCCATCCCCTGGTAAACTAACCTAGCGGGTCGCGATCCCGACCCCCGATGGAGCAGCCTATCCATGGCTATCCCGCCAGTCATGTTGTAGCCAGCTGCGCCCGGTGAAAGGGAGTCGGGACTTCGGGCACGTGACCCTTGCGTGCGGTAGCTGCTCCATCCCAGGTTCGGAGCAGTTGGTTCAGGATAAGAATAAGGATGAGGAGGAGGGGGGGGGTTGTTGATGACGAACTCATCAGCAGGGCGATCGAGCTCGGAAGGCGGGGATAGACGATGGGGTTCTGGAGAGGTCTGGGGACTACTGTGATGCGCTCCTCCAGGCTCTTTGGACCAAGTTCGACTTAGCTTCAGAACCTGCTTGATCGTTTGCACGGCCTGGTCCCTTGTTGACGAGTCCGGTGTTTGAGTTTCCTTGGTAACCTTGGGGACTTCCCTTAGGAGAGAGTAGGCGCCATGTGGCATCCCGACCAGGTCCTCTCCGCCAGATGACTCGGAAACCAGCTTGTCCCGAGACGAGGAAACCACCCTGTCCTCCTCCTTGCTCTGCCTGGAGAGGCTGGACCTTGCCCTTCTCCCTTTACTCCTGGACGAAGACGAGCTGCGTCGTCGGGTCCAGGGTGCAGAGGAGGGCCTCATACTTGGTCCGGGGCCTGGCAGTTCCGAATGTTCTAAAGCTGAAGGAGGTTCGGCAACTGCAGCTGGAGGTTGGGTAAGTGGAGCTGTGGGAGGTTCGCCGGACATGGCTTTCATTGTTGCTGCTGCTTCTGGCCCCTGATGCTGCTCCTCCTGCTGCCAAGTTGCCCTCGTTTCGACACCTCGACTTCGAGCCGGACTCGGACTTCTACCCACCCTTTTCACCGACTTGCCATCCTCGCTTGCTGTCTCGTATCCCGACGTCCGAGTTGGCTTCCTGGAAAGCTTACCACCACTTTTCCTCTTCCTAATACCATCCACTTCTCCTAATCCAGTCCCAGCATGACTGGAGAGAGACATGATCCCCGGAAGGCTTCTGGAGGTCACTCCTCCTCCCCCTCCCCCTCCCCCTCCCCCTCCCCCTCCACCTCCACCATCGTGATGTCGATCAAAACCTGGGATAGATAGACTAACACTTATATCCCCCAGAAGGGTATCAATGCTGTCTTCGTCCTCTGATGAGCGGAAGGGTTGTCCAGGTGCAGAGAAAGCCACAGAGGAGGAGGAGGAGGAGGAGAGGGGGAGAGGCGAGGTGGCCGCAGGGCTTCGGGCAATCTTGTGCAAGTTCTTCAGCTCCGTCAACAGCCTTACCACCGCGGCGGCCTGCAAGCTGGATTCCGCCTGAGACTTGACAAATGCGTCTCTCAGTCTGGCCAAGTCTTCTCGTAGCTGGGCTATGAGCTTGTCCCTCTGAGATACGTCCTCCTTCAGACTGCGAACTGCAGGAATTTTGTCAGGATTGCTGAGCTGTTTCTGCAGCTCCCCCACCTCTTCTCCCAACGCCATGGCCTTCTTCTTCTCTTTCTCTAGCAGCACTCGCAACTGAGCTACCTTAGTTTCCAGCTCCTTCCTCTCCATCCACCCCCTAGCCTTCCCATCCTCGTAATTGCCCTCCACCGCAGCCACTGCAGCCCGAACCACCTCCTCCATTGTCTTGCTGTCCGCTGCCTGCATATCTGCCACTCTTGTCCTCATGGCCCCCCTAACAAACTCTATCTTCTTCTGGTAATCCCCTTCGATCAACGCCACCCGACGCTTCACTCTCTGCTCTGCCTTATCTACTTCCTCCTGCAACCTTGTCTGATGATTAACCTGAAAGTCGATGTTCAACAGTTTCATCTGCTTGTAAGCCTCCGTCAGTTCGCGCTTGACTTCTAGGACTATCCTCCTGAGCTCCCTGATTGCAGGCAGCTCGCTCTTGTCAGTCTGGCAGCCAACCGTCACCTTGGCAATGGTCCATGATGTGACAACGCCTACAATGTCCTGCAGCCTCTTTCCTCCTCCTCCTCCTCCTCCACCTCCTCCTCTTCCTCCTCCCTTTCCCTCTCCATCCGTTGGGTCCCAACCTGGCCAGTGACGCCCACCAGGTCCAGCCAAGGGACCAGACATAACGCTGGTCGGGGAAAGCTCTACCTTGTCCATAGCCACCGGTCCGTCCTCCTCCCCATCCATTCCTCTCAGCAGGCTGCTTGCAACGGGGCCCATGGGGTCGTAGAGGAGGGAGCTGACTTCAGGATCAGCTGGACGGAAATTTCCGTGAACACTCTGGCCCTTTTGTCGTTTACTCACTCGATGATGTCCGCCCAGGTCCAGTCCCGGCACCTTCTTCCTCGGCTTGATTGGTCGGTAGGTATCGCCTTGCCCTGCCGTTGCACGCCGACGATGCTCGACGGCGGCCGCCGCCGCCCCCGGGGCAATGGTGGTGGCCGTGCTGTCTCTTTCTCGAGGGAGTGCCACATGATGTCCAGGTGCATCCCCCCTGCCGCTGGCTGAGACCGAAGCTGCTGCAGCACTCTGTATGCCGGGGGGGTCGGCGGGGCTCGCAGGTCCCGACGTCTGGCTCCCAGCCAGCAACGGCGACGGATCCCGCTCAGCTCGCATCGCCTCCGCCGCCGCCATAGCGTCAGGACGTAACGATCCCGACCCTTTAGCCTCGTTCCCAGCCCCCGCTGGAAAATGATGCTCCTCCTCCGCTGTCCTCAGCGATGGCTTGTCTTGTTGCTGTGGCCCTTCTTCTCCAATCTCTGCACGGATGGATTCGATCCGTGGACCTATCGATGGACGGCGTCTTCCGTCATCGTGCGGCGGGGGKGGGGGGGGAGGTAGGTGACCTGCTACACTCCCAGAGGCTCCCGCAGGTCTCTGCAGCAGAGCCTCAGAAGAGCCACTACCAGGACGTGAATCTGGTCCAGGTGCACCAGTAGGACCCCTACCTGAACCAGGCAGAGGAACTGGTAGACCAGCTTCAGGCGAAGAGTTGGAGACGCCAGCCGCACCTCCTCCTCCTCCTCCTCCTCCTCGACTTTGCAGGGATGTCCTCTCTTTCAAAATGCTAACCCCTTCGGCTAGTTCCATCAGTTCTTGGACTGTCAAGTTCCCCATGGACATCGGCCTGGAGCCGGGACGCGGAGCGGACACCATGGTTCTCGACGGGACCACCTACCGTCCCACGACCGGTCTTTTCCCCAGTGGAGCACGCCTACCGGTAGTTGTAGCTCCTGTATCTGGACAGATTTCAGGTCATATACAGATGGATAGTCCGCGGTGGAATGGCGCACGAGTTTCCTCTAAGTGTGTCTACATTGCTTCGGCGTGTACCTGCTGTAGGAGCCTCGTGATGTCAGAGTGCAACCTGTATTTAGGGCGATTTTCCGGTCATATACAGGTGAACTGATGTCAGATTCACACCTGCATTTGGGCCAATTCTCCGGTCATGTACAGATAGCATGACCCGGCGCTCCTGTGTTTGGTACAGTTTTCAGGTCATGTACAGATTAGATGACCCGGGGCTCCGTTCATGAGAGATGTGCAAGACGGAGGGGATAGTCCGCTCTGACGCCTAGCAGAGCTGACGTCAGCGCACCAGACCTCCACAACAGCCATACCAGCCACATGCCAGTGCGGAGGAAGGAGAGGGAAAGGGGTGGCGGGGGAGGGAAGGGGCGGAGAGAGAGGAGAGGAGAGGAGAGGAGAGGGGAGGGGGGAGGAGGATCGTGTTCACCACTCTTTCGAATAGAACGCATGTGGCAAGTCGGCGATATGAGTGGTGGAAGATGAGACTCGTCCTCGAACACCAATGCATGTATGTAGCTGCATTTAGGACTTGATTCGGCCACGATGGTGTAACATCTGTTTGGCCTTAATACGGCAATTCTTCACTCCGCGCATCGGGATCGGCATGGTAAACTACCGAGCTGGCAAAAAACAAAAACAAAAACTAGCTCTGACCAAAATATAAAATTAAATAAATTATTAAAAAATAATTTCAATAATTTAGAAACACCTGAAAAACCATGGAGATAGCCACACCACTGTCGAAACGAAAAAAGCACGAATGCATCTTCCTCAAAAAGAGGCGAGATGCATGATCTGTTGGTATTCATAGGAAGGGATGCATCTTGCCGCTTTCTTCGGCGACATGCACTTAAACGTACTTCGTTTCCACAGTGGTGTGGCGACGCCCCAACTCTGTATCTTCGCTAGGGACAAAGACACGCAGAGTCCTGACAGTGGTGTGGCGACGCCCCAACTCTGT